CTAGCCTTGAGCTGAAGTGCTGAGCGACAGCGCCCAGGCCCAGAGTTCAGGCTCCACGACCAGACCCCCCCAAAAAAAAAGAAAAAGAAAAAGAAAAACAATTTTGTTCATAGGAAAATTTCAGTTTGAGTGTAATAACTTTTAGAATTTATATGTATATATTTATACTATACTGTATTAGAGTTCAACTCCACAGTTAGGAAAAAAAACAGAACTGGGAAGGTGGCTCAGTGGTAGAGTGCTTGCCTCTCATGCATGAGGCCCTGCATTCAATTCCTCAGCACCACATAAACAGAAAAGGCCATAAGTGGTGCTGTGGCTCAAGTGCTAGAGCACTCACCTGAGCTGGAGAGCTGAGGGACAGTGTCCAGGCCCAGAGTTCAAGCCTCAAGACTGACAAAACAAAAAGAAAATATGGTACATATACAGCATGGAATTCTATTCAGACAGAGAAAAATGAAATTATATCATTTAAAGGAAAATAGATGGAAGAAGAGATAAGCCAAGGCCAAAGAGTCAAATATTACATTTTTCATTCGTTGATCAATTGTAGACCTAAAAAATACATGTTGACAAATATATACATACACATGTACATGTGTATGTATGTGTAACATGATGGTAGTGAGCTTTCAGGGGACAATGGGGAGGGAGGGAAGGGAAAGAGAATGCTGAAAGACAATCAAAATACAGATGGGATTATATATTGCATTTGGTTATGATTTGAACATTTTTTTAATGTACTGTTTGTCTTAAAATCTTACATGCTGAATTTTTGTTCTTTTAACAGCAAAACCGGGTGGACAGGTGAAATGTCAGTACATTTCTGCTGTGGATAAAGTTATATTTGTGGATGATTATGCAGTAGGGTGTAGGAAAGACCTTAATGGAATCTTGTTGTTAGACACTGCTCTGCAAACTCCAGTTTCAAAGCAAGATGATGTGGTTCAGCTTGAGTTGCCAGTTACAGAGGTAAGTTGAAATAAATGTACTCTTCTAGACTTACAGTAGTCTCTGACCTGTCTTTAAGGGTGTTACATAGTTCCCACGATAAAACCAAAGAATTGCGTTATCAGTCACACTTTAAATAATTGTCTTTCTTGTACATAACTAATTGATGCTTATTGAAGTATTTTAGGCATAAATTTTGTATTAGTATAGGTTAAACAGCTATAACAGAGATCCCAGAATATAGTGATTTAATCATCTAGATTGTCCAGTAACAGCCCAGGGCTAAGTATAGACCAACTTCCCTAACTTGGATTAGCTGTGGTAGCTGTTAGCTATTAGGTTTAATAGCTATTCCACACACTGTGTCCCCTCTCCCCCAGGTTGGTCATGGATCTTGAACTCAGGGCCTGGGCACTGTCCCTTAGCTTTTTTGCTCAAGGCTAGTGCTTTACTACTTGAGCCACAGTTCTACTTCTGTTTTTCTGGTGGTTAATTGGAAATAAGAGTATCACAGACTTTCCTGCATGGGTGGGTGTGGAACCATGATCCTCAGATATCAGCCTCCCAGGTAGCTGGATTACAGGCGTAAGCCACCAGGGCCCTGAAAAGGTGTCTAACCATTTCCCAGTTTGCAGAGAAAGGAAGAGAGGGAAAAAGGCATCTTTTTTACACTTCTCTATCTCATTTGTTCTTGTTTTCTTTCTGTCTTTTATTCATCTCCCCTAACCTTTACCCTTTCTTGTATTTATCCCATTGGATAGAATTTAGTTCTATTGTCCATACCAAGCTGAAAGACAGAGAAAGAGGTGAGAGGTATAGTTTCTTTCTTTCTTTTTTTTTTTTGTGCTAGTACTAAGACTTGAACTATTTTTTTTTTTTTTTGGGTCATGGGGCCTGAACTCTGGGTCTGGGTGCTGTCTCTCAGCTCTTCAGCTAAAGGCTTGTGCTCTACCACTAGAGTCATAGCTCTACTTCCGGCTTTTTCTGCTTAGGTGGTGCTGAGGCCTTATGCACTGAACCACTGAACCACCTTCCCAGCCCCAGATTTGAACTTTTTTGGGTGCTGTCTCTTAGGTTTATTGCTCAAGGCTAATGCTCTACCATTTGAGCTACTTTTTTGGCTTTTTTGTGGAGATTGCTTTAGTTGGAGATTAAAGACTATCATTTGTCCTGTCTGAGCTACCTTTTAATTGAGAATCTCAGATCTCAGCTTCCTGAGTAGCTGGGATTATAGGCATGAGCCATGGGTTCTCAGCTGTTACTATTACTATTTTAAAAATTATGTTAAAATTTGTTGTTATTATTAAGGAATTGTTCAGAGGTTACTTTTACATAAGTCATGTAGTGAGTACAGTTTCTTGGGCATTGTTACTCCTTCCTTATGAAGCATTTGAAAACTTAAGTAAGTCTCAAGTCAGGATATTTTCCTGCTGTATGTACTGGAAATAAATGGTAGGTTGTAGCTGTCTTCTACTTTCTCTTCCATTTTGCTTGTTGTTACAAAAGTAGCTACTGCTATTTTCCTGTTTACCTTGCAAAATCCCAAGTGTTCACATAATATTCCTTGTAAATATTCATTTACTTGTTACTGATTTTCCTAAAGTAGGGTCCTAAGCTGGGTTTAATGAGTGTAGATATATTCTTTATCTTATATCAGCTGTGTATTTGTGTTAATAGTTCCTATCAAATTATGTGAATAAAATTGCAGAAGACTTTTTTATGTTAATTGCTGAATGTCAAGTATAGTTTGAATACTTGAAGCTCATTGGAAGACTTTACATTTATCTCTTTACAGTTTTATTTATTTCATTTATGTTCTGTTGATCCAGTTTTCTGTATTGATTTTGTTTATAATTAGGAAATTTTAATATGTGGTACAACACTGAATAATTTGTCTGATGTACTTGTGTAATAGTCCTTTCAATTATCAATTAATTAGCTTTATAAAAGTAAAAGCTAGTAAGTTTATATAGTACTTATCATAATCATGACAAACTACAATATCTGAATTAGGATCTGAATTTAAATATGATTTATTATGTTTAATTTTTTGTGAACATCTTTTTTATTTAGGCTCAACAACTCTTATCAGCATGTTTAGAAAAGGTAGATATTTCTAGTACAGAAGGTTATGATTTGTTCATAACACAGCTAAAAGATGGTTTAAAAAATACATCTCACGAGACTGCAGCAAATCACAAAGTTGCTAAGGTAAGAAATTGAAAAAAATTATCTTTGTGAATTATAAAAGAACAAAAACTTCTATCATTTTACTTTACCAACTTTTCTATAGAAAGATTCTGATTGTAGATTTTTCTCTTTTAAGAAACAATGTGCTATTAAAGAATCTTGAAGTTGACTGTTATTGTTACTGTTACTATGATTAATATTATTATTATTTGCCAGTCCTGGGGCTTGAACTCCAGGCTTGCGTGCTGTTCTTGAGCTTTTTTTTTTTTTTTTTTTTAAATTGTGAAAATACTGTACAGAGGGGTTACAATTACATGGGCAAGATAATGAGTATATTTCTTTTTTTGGGTCCGGTCGTGGGGCCTGAACTCTGGGCCTGCGTGCTGTCCCTCAGCTCTTCAGGTCAAGGCTAGCGCTCTACCACTTGAGCCACAGCACAACTTCCAGCTTTTTTCTTTTTGCTTATGTGGTGCTGAGGAATTGAACCCAGGGCCTCATGCATGCAAGGCAAGTCCTCTACCACTGAGCCACTTTCCCAGCCCAAGAGTACATTTCTTATCAAGCATTGTAGCCTCCTCCTTTGTTTTCCCATCCCATCCTGCCTCCCTCCTTGAGCTTTTTGCTCAATGCTAATGCTCTATCACTTGAGCCACAGCTGTACTTAAAACTTTTTTGGTAGTTTAGTGGTGATAACAGTCTGAAAGCCTTTCCTTCCTGGGCTGTCTTCAAATGATGAACCTCAGTTCTCATTCTCCTGAGTAGCTATAA